CAGGAAAGCCCTTTGGACTTTGAGATTTTCACAAGAGCTTCCCAGTTTTGTCTGCAATATGCTTTAGATGGTCAGAACGTCGGCAGACTGTAGGCGGTCTGTCTGAGACTGTGTTGTTATCAGCATAGAAATTAAATGTCTTGGAATATTTCATAATCTGTTATTGGTATTCCTCATCCAAGTTCTAACATCTGAACAACTAGTTCTTCTAAAGAAAAAATGGGGTCATTTATAATGAAGTGAAAACATTTGTAGTACTGTACCTCTCTCTGTTCACTGCAGATCTTGCAAAGCCATTGAGCCCTTTTTTGACTGCCTGGTGTCTCGATTCCGCATTTGGTGCACACCTTCTGCAACACAAACATGCATAGGGGTATAGAACAGGTCAAACAAACACAACCTGATAACTATTGTAAAATAAGAGTACGTTATTTTAAGAAATGCTTTTTTTTAATGGGAAAAATGGCTGTCACTAGTAGAAAGGGGCACTAGGTAACGGACTGTGTTTGGAGTGAAGTGAAAAGGTTATTGTTAGCGATGTCTGAGTGCAGTGAAGCTCCGGCCTCAATGATTTAGAGAAGAGTTGGCACTGCTTTTGGTACCAGCACAGTGCTAGTTTTAGACTGCTTTTATTAACCTTTGTTTGAAACAAGGTCTTAGACACGTTATTTGCACATCCCAATTTCAAATCCCCATCTTGCACGCCAGCTACCGCTTCCGTTTCCCATCCCGGTGTGATTCTCCTAATGACTATTTGGGTCCCTATTAAAATACTTTTTTCTTTTCGTACTTTTTTTTTCCGAGAGAGTGGTGGACGAAGTACACAGATCAAGTGCTAGAGTAAAAGTACAGATACCCTAACATATTACTCCAGGAAAAGTATCAAGTACTCCTTTTCAATTTTACTCGAGCAAAAGTACTTGATTATTAATATACCCAAGTAATAAGAGTAAAAAGTACTGATTAATAATAATGTTTATTTATTTTTTGCAATTTTATATACACCATCCTACTGCTCAAAATACGTATGGGGGGGGAGGAGGAGGGGGGTTATAATGTAGTAGACAGACAGATAGAGCTCAGTCTCAGTCTTTGTGCGCAAAAAACAAACAAAAATAACGACTTTATTCAACTATTCATTTCCTTCTCTGTTGGCCTCGAGATTTCACGTAGTGAAACTGCGCAATGGTTCTGTGTTGTACGTCACACATAGGCTCACTATTGGCAGACGCTGGTCATGTGTGTGATGTACAACCTAGAAGCTTTGCGCAGTTTCACTACGTGAAATCCCGAGGCCAACAGAAAAGGCAATGAATAGTTGAATAAAGTCATTATTTTTGTTTGTATTTTGCACACAAAAAGTATTCTCGTCGCTTGATAAACTTAAGATTGAGCCACTGTAGTCACTCGGACTATTTTAACGATGTCTTTCATAACTTTTGGGCCGGCCAGTTTCGATCCCTTAGGAAGCCTATGGAGGAGTGATCCAGCTCTCAGATTTAATCAAAAATATCTTAATTTGTGTTCCAAAGATGAACGAAAGTCTTACGGGGTTGGAACAACATGAGGGTGAGTAATTACTGACAGAATTTTCATTTTGGGGTGAACTAACCCTTTAACAGCTGTTTTTAAGATTACATTTGATTTGCCAAGTTTACCTGCAAGATAATTGGAAATGAAGTTTTTAATATGTGGAAGTAAAAACATGTCCACCCTGCAATCGTGCTGATTGTGAGAAGCATCGTCCCCCTCCACACTAAAATTAAATTACAGTGGGAGATATTACTGTAGACTCTGACGGCTTGGTTTTTAAGAATCAATTTGAAGTTGAGGGCTGTGATACGCCGTAGTAATAAGAAAAGAGAAAGAACCTTTAATCAGGCTTTATGTAATAGAAGACAAACACTAGATTGAAGTGCAAGTAATTTAGTTTCGGAAGAACTTCTATATACTAAAATTGCTTTGAGAAAGAGTGAGCGAAGGAGGAACAGAGAGAAAAAATCTGTTCAATTTCCGTTAAATACTTCTAAAGATCCCTCTGTGAGCGAGAGACATCTTTAAAGCTGCTGTAAGCGGTTTAATACCACGCATAAATGTCCCTACTGCCTGACAGATATCACTGAAATGGGTGTCTTGAGAAATCGCACTTCACTCTGTGACAGCTCCAGGCTCTGTAAATGAAAAAAAATTAACCTGACTGCAGCCTGCATGTCTTAGCCAATCAGAAAGCTTGGAGGCGGCCTTCTGCCAACCTCAGTCAATGGAGTGAGTGTGGGATGGGTCTTTATTTATTTTAGCTGAACAATATAAATGGAGAGTGTTTGGGAAAAAATAAACCTGTTCGGAAACAGTCACTTAGTCATCTGATAGTTTCATTTTTGGGTGAACTATCCCTTTAAGTAATTAAGCAATTTCTCACGTACCCGGTAGGTTTTTTTTTCTTTGTGTTTTATATAATGACCACTAGGAGGTGCTCTAGGCATACGTTTTCCTTTAAGATTTCAACAATGTCGACTAAGTGTGTTGGACCTGAAGCAGCGTTGCGCAGACCAATCGGTGTATAACATCAAAGAACCACATAGAGATGAAACCGTATGAAAAATTAAAAACTCATATCACAATTATAAAGACCAAAATTATCCCGTTATCAATATTATCAGTTGTCAGCAGGATTCTGTTCTGCGGCATTACCTTCCTTATAATGACCGTTGTCAATAGCAACTCATAACAAAAAGCACACATCCATAGGTGCTTTCCAACTGACAGGGTCCCTACGCAGTGCTCACTGCTCCCTCCCTGAGCACGGGAGATCTGTTGAAGTGGACTTCGCTGACACTACTCTGTCATTTGGAACTCTCTACACTGTCAAAGAAAAGCAACGACGGGGTCGCACAGATTATGATCGAACATATTGTAATTTACTTAACTTTTTAAATTTTAAATCATATAATATACATATACCAAGAATATATATATATATATATATATATATATATACACACACAGGTCCTTCTCAAAAAATTAGCATATTGTGATAAAGTTCATTATTTTCCATAATGTAATGATAAAAATTAAACTTTCATATATTTTAGATTCATTGCACACCAACTGAATTTCAGGTCCTATTTCAGGTCTTTTATTGTTTTAATACTGATGATTTTGGCATACAGCTCATGAAAACCCAAAATTCCTGTCTCAAAAAATTAGCATATCATGAAAAGGGTCTCTAAACGAGCTATTAACCTAATCATCTGAATCAACTAATTAACTCTAAACACCTGCAAAAGATTCCTGAGGCTTTTAAAAACTCCCAGCCTGTTTCATTACTCAAAACCGCAATCATGGGTAAGACTGCCGACCTGACTGCTGTCCAGAAGGCCATCATTGACACCCTCAAGCAAGAGGGTAAGACAGAAAAAAATTTCTGAACAAATAGGCTGTTCCCAGAGTGCTGTATCAAGGCACCTCAGTGGGAAGTCTGTGGGAAGGAAAAAGTGGGGCAAAAAACGCTGCACAACAAGAAGAGCTGACCGGACCCTGAGGAAGATTGTGGAGAAGGACCGATTCCAGACCTTGGGGGACCTGCGGAAGCAGTGGACTGAGTCTGGAGTAGAAACATCCAGAGCCACCGTGCACAGGCGTGTGCAAGAAATGGGCTACAGGTGCCGCATTCCCCAGGTCAAGCCACGTTTGAACCAGAAACAGCGGCAGAAGCGCCTGACCTGGGCTACAGAGAAGCAGCACTGGACTGTTGCTCAGTTTTGCATGTCATTCGGAAATCAAGGTGCCAGAGTCTGGAGGAAGACTGGGGAGAAGGAAATGCCAAAATGCCTGAAGTCCAGTGTCAAGTACCCACAGTCAGTGATGGTCTGGGGTGCCATGTCAGCTGCTGGTGTTGGTGCACTGTGTTTTATCAAGGGCAGGGTCAATGCAGCTAGCTATCAGGAGATTTTGGAGCACTTCATGCTTCCATCTGCTGAAAAGCTTTATGGAGATGAAGATTTCATTTTTCAGCACGACCTGGCACCTGCTCACAGTGCCAAAACCACTGGTAAATGGTTTACTGACCATGGTATTACTGTGCTCAATTGGCCTGCCAACTCTCCTGACCTGAACCCCATAGAAAATCTGTGGGATATTGTGAAGAGAAAGTTGAGAGACGCAAGACCCAACACTCTGGATGAACTTAAGGCCGCTATCGAAGCATCCTGGGCCTCCATAACACCTCAGCAGTGCCACAGGCTGATTGCCTCCATGCCACGCCGCATTGAAGCAGTCATTTCTGCAAAAGGATTCCCGACCAAGTATTGACTATTGAGTGCATAACTGAACATAATTATTTGAAGGTTGACTTCTTTTTTTTGTAATAAAAACACTTCTTTTATTGGTCGGATGAAATATGCTAATTTTTTGAGACAGGAATTTGGGGTTTTCATGAGCTGTATGCCAAAATCATCAGTATTAAAACAATAAAAGACCTGAAATATTTCAGTTGGTGTGCAATGAATCTAAAATATATGAAAGTTTAATTATCATTACATTATGGAAAATAATGAACTTTATCACAATATGCAAATTTTTTGAGAAGGACCTGTATATATATCTATATAATTAAAACAACTTTATTACATAGACTACTTGTATATTTAATTGACTACTGCACCTATTAATTGACTATAAACAGCTTTGAAGCTGTACTGTAACTTTCATTCAATATGAAAATCAATTTTGATTTGGTTTCAAACTGAACATGTTCACTCCCTTCGGATTGGAATTTCACTTAAGATGGCGGAATACCCTGTGAAGTCTACTTCGCAGTCAACTTAAGGTCGAATGGAACGCACCTCATGTCTCTAATCACCGCGGACACGCGTCAGGTAAATAAAATTTCATTTAAATGCAACTTGCCGTCTTGCGTTTCAGTTTTTGATTGCATGTCAAATTAAATAAGAGGACTTTAGTATTAATACTACTATAATATTGCTGTAGTAATCATCCTATCTGGACGATTGGATTTATAAATAGGAATGATTTTAAAACAATCTCATTTCAATATTTGATTTCCCTGTAATAATTTCTGAGGTAAAAAAAATAAAAATCTGTAATAAGTGTACAATAAATATACACTCACTATCCCTTAAATGTCAACCTTAATAGTCTTGTTTGAACATGTTTGTTCGTCTTGGCTCAAAGCCACTTGGTGCAAACTTTTTTTCGCGGAAACTTCGTGTTAATTACAAGTGAGATAATAAAATACAGTAGTCAACATTTGAAGATCAAAAAAGTTCTACACTAAAACAAAAACAGGTATTCAAAATTCATGTATAACTTTGATGAAAGGTTTTGATCC